AGTATCCAGGAGGCTGATGAAGTAGAGTTCATAGGCTTGTCTCTGGGAAGTGTTGTGTAAGTTTCCTTTGAGGATCAGGACTGAGAGATTGGGGAGAGAGTGGTTTTCTTGTGAGAAATATGCCCCCACAGGTAATTGGGTATTCCTGTCTTTGATAGATTTCTGGTGTGCGTTCATTCTGGTGCGCAGTTGTTGTTTGGTCTCTCCTACGTATTTTCCATCAGGGCATTTGGTGCATTGGATGAGGTATACTACATTCTTGGAGGTGCAGCTGTAAGATCTGGGAATGCTGATGGCTCTGTTGTGGGGTGTAGTAATAGTGGGGTTGGTGGAGATGTGTTGGCAGGTTTTGCATTTCTTGTCATGGCACGGTCTGGATCCTTTTGGTGTGTTCTGGGCTTGAGGAAGTTTGCTTCTGGTGATGAGGTTAGCGAGGTTCGGTGCTTGTTTGAAGGCTAGGATGGGTGGCTCTGGGAAGATCTTTTTAAGAATAGGGTCTCTTTCTAGTATGGGTTGCAATTTGAGGATTTTCCGTACAGGTTCAAGGGAGGGGTGATATGTCATAACCAGCAGCATGCGATTTGTGGGGGGGTTTCTTCTGTACTGCAGCAGGTCTTCATGTGGTATCCGGGTAGCTCTTTCAAAAGTGCGATCTCTCTCTCTGGAGGAGTGTCCTGGTTGGGTCAAAGCCTTTTTAAGGTTGGTGCTGGGAGGGAGCACAGGGGTCAGCCCTGGGCTCCAGGTGGCAGTGCTGAGCGGCAGACCAGCTGGCTGGGGCATGAGGGTGCAACCTTGCAGAGCTGGGCAGCAGGCAGCTCCCAGACTGTAGCACCCTCATGCCCTAGCCAGCCCTGGTCAGTCTACACGTGCATTTCAGTGCACGTAATTACTCTGCCATAGGTTAGTACTTGTCCCAGATGGTACTATCCTAAAGCAGAGTTAATTAATTTACTGCACCCTAATTCTGGCATACATGTGACTGCAATGCTTCACTGAAGAGCTAATTAGTGAACTCTGCAGCAAAGCACATGCGTAGCTGCAACCAAGTGTGATTTTCAAATTCTCCTTGGCACCTATTGACATCTTTAGGCACCTAAACACCTCTCAAAACCTAACCTAAATAACTTTTGTAAATAAGACTTCAGAACCTAAATCACAATCCCCTGACTACTACACACAACTCCAAATATGCTTCACAGCTATGCAGAAGAACTTCAGAGAAAATTAGAAATCATCTACTTCACCTAATCTACTCCAAAAGAGACCAACTCAGGAAGGAAATCATATACTACAACAGCTTAAAAGACAGAAATCCAATCATCTTCCCTAACTATATACAATAGATACAAAGAGATTACGAAAACTTTCTACAAGGTTCATCCTACTCAAAAAGAAGAAATGGAACAAATTACTCCAAGAACAAGCTCCCCAGCCACAAAACAACCATCAGGAACACCAACACCTTACAACGTTCCAACCTCAGACTTGATGAAACTGAAAGCAGCAACCAACCCACAAATATTATCAATCTCTCCACACACACACACACTTACCAAAACTGAAAAATCTGTCCTTTCTAAAGACCTAAATTTCTGTCCAGAAAAACACCCTAATAAAATACTTCAATGTGGAGAACTAGAAGAATTGACGCCTCCTCCTCAAGGAATATTTCCACGAACAAACTGAACCCACTCCCAACAACAACTCATCCTCTGACAACATTCAGAAAAAGATCAATGCCAAAAAACCCCCAAAAAATCAGATTGGACACCTCACAGTGGACGAAACTCTAACCTTGACCGCTACATTGACTGCTTCAGGGAAAAAATGAAGATAAAATAATCAGCAACATACGCCACCACAACAACCTCTCTCTACCAGAGAAAAAGGCCACAGAATGGGGAACTACATAAGGAAGCCAAAAGACAGCTCTCTGACACCACCTACTCAAAGAACTACAAGAAGATCCTACTCCTCTTTTCACTAAGAAACTCAACAATACCATCAAATCATTTCCATCAAGACTACAAGAAAAACTACAGAGCTTGATCCCCCCGCTACCTAACCCAGGGACTTTTTACATGCTCCCTAAAATCCACAAACAAGGGACCCCTGGCAGACCTATCATATCCAACCATGGGACCCTAACTGAGGAAATATCAGGTTTTGTTGAATCCATCCTAAAACCGCTTGTCACCCACAGAGCAAGTTTTGTCCAAGACACCACAGACTTGCTACGGAAACTTAAAAACATAGACCACCTTCCCAGCAACACACTCCTAGCCACCATGGATGTTACCAGCCTATACACGAACATCCCACACCAGGATGGCATCCATGCCTGCCTTACATATCTACAGGAACAAGATTACAACCCAGAATACAGACCCAAAGATATCACTGAGCTTATACACTTCATCCTCACACACAACAATTTCACTTTTAATAATCAACACTTCCTCCAGATGATGGGAACAGCTATGGGCACTAAAATGGCCCCACAGTATGCCAACCTTTTTATGAGCCACCTGGAAGAAGACTTCCTCAAGAACTGAACCATCAAACCCTTGCTATACTTAAGATATATCAACGGCATCTTCATCATTTGGACTGAAAACCTATAATCTCTGAGTTCCATCAGAAATTCAATAATCACCATCCCTCCATCCAACTTTCTCTAGAATACTCCAGCACCAACATCTCCTTTTTAGGCACGATGATCAGTATCCAGAATGATAAAATACAGACCACTACAAGAAACCCACAGACCAACATACATATCTGCACAGAACCAGCAATCACCCTAAACACACCAAAAAAGCTGTGATATACAGTGAAGCCCTCAGATACCACCAGCCCAGGGCTTCTCCACCCTGGCTCAGACTCCTGCGGTTCCGGGCACACGTGTAGATGTTGCACCCGGGAGCAGTTGACTCCAGCATGAACTGCATCAGAGTTTCTTGCTAGGTGCTAATTATACATGTAGATAAATTAATTAACTCTGTTTTAGGATAGTACTGTCTAGGACAAGTACTATCCTATGGCAGAGTAAGGGTAAAAAAAAACCCACGAGAAAAAAAGCAGGGTGGCACAGGTGGGGCAGTGTGCGCTGCCTGAAACTGGAACCTGGCCAGCCAGAGCCATGGTCTGGCTGCCTGCCAGGCTCCCAGCTGCAGAAGTCACATGGCTGCAGCTTCCCCAGCACCCAGGACCCCAGGTAAGGCTGCTGTAGCCTCTCCTACTCCACCCAAGGTAACCTACCACGTGCCAGAGGGTGCATGGCACAGGCATTCCCTGGGGACAACCAGCAGCGGCATGCTTGTCTGGATGCAGCCGCTGTGTGCTAATTTGTATCTTTTAGGTATCTAATGTACCTTTAGGTTAGGTTTATACATCTCAAGACAAAACCACATAGGCTTATACATCTCAAGACAGAACCACACGTATGCATGCCACTGCTGTGCTAAAACATGTTGCATCCTCTCCACACATGCTAGTTCCTACACTGGAGGTAATATAGCCACGTTACTGTGGCACTGTTCATATACCAATAAACTCTCTCAGAACTTACTGGCATCTCTTCAGTCTAACACACATCTCTACTGCTAGTTTGGGAATGAATACAAGCAGAAGAGGCACAGTGTGTCTTCCTTGTACTGTATAGACATATCCTAAATACTGAAAAATTTTATCTTAAGAATCTTACTCTGTTACAGTGAAACATGAGCTTCTAGCTGCTAAAGTCATGTTTAAATATGAGATTTAAACTACTTAGCAATTTTGACATTTCTGAAAATTGTTATAAGCAATTTCTCTGATAGTTACCCTTGATCTGCTCTAGGTGCCTGACTTAGTATTGGGGGTGTACTTGGTAGCCATGTTGGTCTGAGACAGACACAAAAAACTAGAACTCTTGGTTCCAAAATGATACCTGTTATTAGACCAACTGGAAAATGGCAAGAAAACTGTCCTTTTCTGCAAGCGTTCAGGATCAAAGTCCCTTCATCAGGCTCTGGGAAAAGTGTAGATGGTACAAGATGGTAAAAAGTCCCCATAGGTAGGAAATAAACTTCATTTTTGCACAGAGGGAGCTGAAGATGGAAGACTGTCCCTCTGGGTCCATGGGAGTGTCTTTGTGAGCTGTGTTGAGTAGCTCTTTGATGTGTTGATCAGGTAGAATTCCTTCCCTGGAGGTGTCCAGAAAGCTTGCAGAAAGGGACAATTTTCTTGCCATTTTCCAGTTGGTCTAATAAAAGGTATCATTTTGGACCCAAAAGTTCTAGTCTTTTGTATGTCTTTTTGTCTCAGACCAACACGGCTACCAAGTACATCCCTGAAACATGGAAGATGCTGAATTTTAGCCGATTTTAGATTTTAAACCTCACTGGAGAGCAACAAGGAAGGTTTTTTACCTCCCTGCCTGCCATCTGACACCTCCAGGGAAGGAATTCTACCTGATCAACACATCAAAGAGCTACTCAACACAGCTCACAAAGACACTCTCATGGACCCAGAGGGACAGACTTCCAACCTCAGCTCCCTCTGTGCAAAAATGAAGTTTATTTCCTACCTATGGGCACTTTTTATCACCTTGTACCATCTACACTTTTCCCAGAGCCTGACGAAGGGGCTTTGATACAAAAAGCTTACAGAAAAGGACAATTTTCTTGCCATTTTCCGGTTGGTCTAATAAAAGGTATCATTTTGGAACAAAGAGTTCTAGTTTTTTGTATGACTTAGTATTGAACATTTGAACATCTATCAATCACTAAAAAAACCAAACTTTCCTACTTCTAATATGTAAAAGCTAATAGAATCCATATAAGCAATAGCTAGTCTACACTGGAAAGTTGAACAATATCCAAAAATCTAAGATGAGCTGGAAATGCTGCTGACTGGACCAAGACAAAAAAGCAGGAAAAAAAAATCACACTACCAAATCTTTTTGCTATGATAACAGGGAGACACTGCAGTGGCCCTGATCATTTGTCTATGTTTTTCTCTTGCAGGGTGGAAATAATGCAGGCCATACTGTGGTTGTTGACGGGAAGGAATATGACTTTCACCTCTTTCCTAGTGGCATAATTAATCCAAAGGCAATTTCCTTCATTGGTAAGATACTTTTGAATATGTCCAGATATTAATATTGGGTAATCATAATCATAGTTTGATAAAGCAAGCAGAAAAAAAAAGATCATGGAGTTCATTTGCCACCTTTCAAATCATCAGTTATTCCACAATCACTGGGCATATCTGTACCATTAATTTACTATGCCAGACAGCACCCTGCTGAAACATAATACATAGCTCCACATGTATTACCTCCCATATCAAAAGTAATGCAAAATCCTGTACTTGGGATGGAACAATAGCATGCATCTTAGTGTAGGCATCTTAGCATACAGATCCAGCAGGCTAAACTGCAGGCTCTTGACTGAGCTATTTAGCCTCCCCCAGCACTGTATGAAAACTGCTACCCTACTGATTCAGCAGGGAGTGCATGTATGCCAGAGTGATGTTTGGAGCATGGCACTGCCTATCCCTGTATGTTACAGTAGGGATGTGCCCAATGTCATTTTAAAGAGAAATTGAAGTAGTGAAAGCATGAATTCTCCCTTTCAGTCTCTTTGCTGTTCTTTACGGTGTTTAAGGATACAAGTTTAACTAGCACCCTCTATTTAAATATTCAAATGTTATACATGCTTACATACATGTGCCCACACTTTGCAGATGCAAATGCTTTGATGTATGCTAGATGATCCTGTTGCTTTTCTGCAGCCCTCTTCTCCTCTGCATTCTAGAAATAGGTACCAAGAAAGGGCTCTACCTGAAAGTGTTTTTAGACTGTCTCTTGCCACCTATGCTTCCTGAGATGTGAGCTTTTCTGAGTTGATGTCATGTGATAATGTGATGTTATTTGTATGACAACTTAACAATGAAAAATATCATCGCAACCTATTTTGCATTGGGCCTGCTGATTTTTCTGCCTGGAATGTAAAGTGGGTGTATCTAACCTCATTTCATACAAAATAGCTGTCCCTTCCATGACCTGCACCTCGTCCTCAGCTTTTCAATAGGGGATTTACTGTAACTCAGCTGATCTAAGAGGTTAGTAACAAAATAGAACCCCATGACCAGATTAAAAAAAGAGAATTCAGGAGCCTATCAGGATCTGATAAACCTGACTTCACACATCCTCACTGCTTGTTTTACATGAACAAACTGTGTTTTCTGGGCCTAATTTATGAATCTCAGCTTGAATCTGTAGCCCTAGCAGCTGAACCAGTGTTAAAACTGCAGTCTGCAAATGGCCTTAAATTATCACACCCTTTAGCAGGACAGATTTATAGGGAGCACATAAGAAATTACAAATATATTTAATCACTTAAAAAAGAATAGATTTTAAAATATTGTGCATATGTCAGGTCCATCTTAGGTGTTGTGATGTCATAATGTTTACTAAATAAAATAGGTGTTGTTCCTTTAATATGGGACTAAACTAATTTTAAAAAATATTAAAAATTGCTCAGGTACTAGATTGCTGAATTACTAGATTTCATATAAATAAAAATTAAATTACAGATTTAAAAGGGGGTAGAGAGCGAAGGTGCATATAAATATTACATATAGCTAAGGGTGATCTAAATGCTTGAGCGTCCATCATCAGACGAGAACTAACTGTAGATTGGCATCAGTTAACCTAACCTAATGAATACTTGTGTGTGTCCCTAGCACAGCCCTGGGGCTGTGCTATTTTTACATGCCCAACCCTAACCAAGCTGTTTGCCCCCCTGAACAACACACCTCCAGATCAGGCGGCTCCCTGCTGGACATGGAAGTCCCTTCCCCAGGATCATCCATCCCCCAACACCTTGCTCCCACCAGTGCCGCACCCCCGTGCCAGACCCCTCTCCCCTGTTGCCCACACACCCCCTTTCACGCAGTGGTGAATGCTTGCATGTGGTGATCCCAACCTAGATTTGACGGCTTAAACTAAACCATCAAAACCTGAGCTGCATCCCATGAATGCTTGTCCGCACCCTTGCTATGCCTGGGGCCCTTGATATCAGCCTGTGTGCCTGCATTTACCCTGTAACAGGAGCTTAGACCTCAGTGAAACAGGCCTAAGCTGTCTTAATGTCACATACTGAGGGGCATGTGTGCACACAGCCACTGTGGAGCAGCTGAAGCCCAGTAAATCCCTTCTTATTAACTCACTGTAATTTGTGCAGTTCTCTATACCCTTAGATTCATGTCTAGGTTTCACTCTCCTTTTATTTTCCAAAACTTTGGAGAGTCTCAGATATGTAGTCCTAGTTCTGGCAAATATTCGCTTATAACATTAAAATATATCAAAACTGTTTCCCTGGTGACAAATTTGGTTTACTCTGTTGCTAGTTAGCATGGAAAGTAATTAATGACCAACATCTAGTTAGCAGAGAAGCTGCATTTCTTTTGCTTCTAGGAAAAAGTAAATAGCAGCTGTTTCCATCTGACTATATCTCTAATCCCTCCCCATCTCCAGTACACACTCTGTATTGCTTATGGAATTTAATTTGAAGCTTCATAGTAAGGAGAAGAGATTGCTCATATATCAGAACAGCTATTTTGAGCTGAGTCTAAAGGACATGCAAATATAGAAGATTTAAAGTAAGAACTGTCCCTGGTGTAATCTGCTGTCTTTGATCTTACACCAATGAAGAATTTGAGACCAAAGGCCTGATTCAGTGCCCACTGTAATGAACAAAGATAATCTATGGACCTCAGCTGTTTGTGGATCAGGCTTCAAATACAGATGTAGGCAGGTAAAATGGTTGAAATTTCAGTAGGCTTGTACCTATTTACCCCAAACTTGGATTTGGTCTTAATAGTTCTTGAAGCCAGTTAGTGATGAGCACATGATAACCTTGAGTCCTAGCAGTTTTTAGTAATATTTCAGTATTTAAAAAATGAGGTTTATGTCATTCATTTAGAAGAATAACTATTCTTTTTCCTGCTTTTAAATCATTCTTTTGTGTGTTTCCAAAGGTAATGGGGTGGTTATACATTTACCAGGCTTGTTTGAAGAAGCTGAAAAAAACGAGAAGAAAGGTTTGTGTTAAGCAGTTTTTTAAAATGGTTTTATACTGACAGCTAAATCTTAAGTTCTTTCCAGACCCGCATTTTTACTTTTTGCAACAAGTATTCTGTACTGAAAATTCCTTGCCTTAAAATCATTAAGAAAGAACTACTAAAAAAAAATGTTCTGTTTCATTTGTCTGGGCAAATTTCTAAGAAGGAGCCTCTAAATTTTATGGGTACAGTCATTTGGTGCCACAATAGATAATAGACATAGAGTGAAGTCCTGCATGCTGTATGCAACATGTGCTGGCCTCTGGCCCTGCACACTGCATACAGCAGATAGTCTGGCATGCACAGTGCATGGGGTCAGCCCAGGGTGCACACTGCATGCACTATCTGGGCTGTACCGGCCCCACAGGCTGGATCTGGTGCATGGGGCTGGTCTGAGCCAGGTTTGGTCCATGGACTGGCCCTGTGCCCCCATCCATCCCATGGGGCCAGATTAGGTTGACATCCCGGCTGCAGACAGTTAATCAGGACTCTATTGTTTTTTAATGAAAGAAGCAACTATCATCATTAACAACAGAGTGAAAAGCTTTTGCCTTAATTTGTAACAATTTTGACTGTGCTGATTGGCAGTACACTGGCATTATAAGCACATCTTGATACCGTTTTTGTCCATACCAAAATGAGAAAATACAGTCCCCAGCTGAAAGCAGTCAGTGTGAAAACAGTCCATTAGCAGAAAATGGTAATGAAGGAACTGAATAGTCAGCCATGGTTTAACCAAAATAACTTTCCCAGTGTTTATAATGAACTAGGTTTCTAGGTTATGGCATATTTAATAAGAAAGGGAGCTAGAAAAAAGATAAAGAAAAACTAAAAGTAAATCTTCGAGTATAACAACAACAGGGGAATATAAACTTTAAAATGTATGTGTATATTTTCTGACAGGTTTAAAGGACTGGGAGAAAAGACTCATTATCTCAGACAGAGCACATATTGGTAAGAATTTTACAGAAGTGGAGATTAAAGATAGGGAAAAGATTGAGAGAAAATGCAAATTAAAGATCCCAAAGATGCTTTCAAAACTGCTTTGTTCCTGTGCAGTTTACATCTAAAATATTGGTTTTTTTCCAAGTTGTATAAGATGCACATAAACCTTATGCATCAGATATTAATGGAATTGGTATCATCCAACAAATAGTACTGAACTGTTGTTTTCTAATACTCTGTAACAAAACAGTGACTTTGTTTTCATGTGAAAGGAACTGAACAATTAAAAGTCACAGTGGCTTTTTCCCTCCAGGAAGATCCACAGTGACCATGTAGGAACCATCATTTATGTATGATGATTAGGGACCTATTTAAAGAGTGGCGAGACAAAGGGTTTTCCGTGGCCCGTAGAGCCAATTTTGCAGGCATTTCTCAGTAGCCCCGCCCCTCAGTGCTGATTGGCAGAGAGGCTCCCAGGGGGCAATGAGGTGGCAGCCACTGTCTTGATTCCTGGCTGCCCTTTGTGCTGCCCGCCCCTTGGTGCTGATTGGCGGAGAAGCCCTGGCAGAAGGGTGAAGGGATGAGGGGGAAGCCACCATCATGTCTGCTGCCTTTTAGGCTGCCTTGCCAGCTGACACCTTCCCCTCCTGGCAGCAAGGACCACTGGCTCCCCAGCATTTTATTTTTATTCAGTATTTTTTGTTGATTTTTTTGATTCTGTGGACAATTCTGGATTTTGTGGTTTCCACAACATCCACAAAACCGCAAATTAAGTAGGTTTCTAATTATGATGCCTAAAAATTGACTGGCCCCAGGAGCATGATATAAACAAGACAAGGCCTGTAAGATCCCTGTGGAGTCACTCTAGAAGACTGAGACACTCTCTCCATCCAGAGAACGAGGAGACAGAGTCACTCCACATAGCCCAGAAGTGTCCAGAGGTCGAACAGGAAACACCAAGCACAGAGGTGTATCTAAACTTCTTCCTCTCTGGAGCTTAGGCACCCAAGTCCTGTTTTGATGCCTATTCAATTAATCTGGATTTGGCCCTTAGTTCTTAAGTTGTAGATATGTCTAATTTTTTTTAATGTTTTTCTGCTTTGATTCTCACCTTGTTCACGTGGTTTTTGCTGCTGTGCAGTGTTTGACTTTCATCAAGCTGTTGATGGACTTCAAGAAGTACAACGCCAAGCACAAGAGGGAAAAAAGTAATTATATATCAGTGCTTTTATCCTGTCAATAATGTTTCAAATCGGGAAAGCTGGTATAATTTTTTAAAGCAGTCCAGTATATTATGATCATCCCCAGTGGCCACTTGCAAACCTACTAGAAACTGCAAGCTTGGGACCAGCTCATAATAATGTCCCCAAGGTTCCCTACCAGTGACTTCTAGTTTTGGAGTGTGGTTGCAGTCACAGGTCAGTGGGGCAGAATGGGGCACATGGGATGGCTGGGATATGCCACCCCCCAATGGTGTGGACAGTCTCATCGAGGACAGAATTAGAACTGAAATGACCTTGGCCCAAAACAAATAGGATGAAATTCAGTAGGAACAAGTGGAAAGAACCACACTTAGGAAGAAGCAGTCAAATGCACAAATACAAATTGGAAATGACTAGTCTGCAATACTGCAGAAAAAGAGTTACAGTGGACCACAAGCTGAATATGAGTCAATGATGTAATATAGTTGTAAAAAAGGGTAATAGCATACTATTCACAGGAGAATTCACGTGCAAGTCATGGCAAGTTATCCTTCTACTCAATTCAGCACTGGTGAGGCTTCACCTGGAGTGCTATGTTCATCTTCCTTCAAGAAGGATATGGACAAATTGAAAAGAGTCAGAAGGAAAGCAATAAACATGAGAGGTCTAGAAAACATGACATACAAAGAAATGTTGGAAGATTTGGGATTATGTAGTCTAGAGAAGAAAAGACTGAGGGGAGGCTTAACAACAGAGAGGCAGTTGTTCTCTGTATCCAGAGAAAACAAGACAAGCAATAATGAACTTAAAGTGTAGTAAGAGATGGAGGCTGGACATTCAAAAGAACTGTCTAATTATCATGGTGGTTAAGCACTGGAACCATTCGCATAGGTCCCCTAAGGAAAAGTAAGAGCAGGGCTGAGAATGCAGTCCTTTATAAGGCTGGCCACCCACTTGGCTGTTCTCTTCCCAGCTTATCTCATTTGCACGCAAGGATGAGTCCTTTTCTGTACAGAGAGTTAGCGATAGAAACAGTGAATATCTTTAGTTATAAATAGGTTAGAGAAGGGAGTTGGCAACCTGTAGCACATGAGCTGCATCTGGCTCACCAAACAGTTGTGTCCTGCCTGTGATTTTGTGGCAAAGGACAATGTCTGAAATTCAGCAGCAATATAACGGGGAAAATGTCACCCGCTTAACAGCAGTGCAGCAGGGGAAAGTAATATTGGCAGCTGGGTCAAGAACAGCAGTCCACCAAGCACCATTAGTTTGGCCTGCAGCTCCTAAAAGGTTGCCATCTCCTGGGTTACAGCTTTATTCATAAAATATGCTTCTCCATTTCAGAATGCTTCTCTAATAAGCAGCATATAGCAGAGTTCTGATAAAAATTTCCTAATATAAAGCATGTTGTGTGAACAGACATTTCTCATCTTTTTATTAGTATTGGCACAACAAAGAAAGGCATTGGACCAACATATTCTTCCAAAGCTGCAAGAACAGGCCTTCGTGTTTGTGATCTGCTTGCAGATTTTGATGAATTTTCTTCCAGGTATAATCATTAACACTTCTAAAATAACATATTAAGATAAGGTACATGTGGATGACAGCTTTGCTTTTATAGGGGACACTTTTTAAAGTGATAAATATGAGCTTTGTGCACATATCCTTTAAACTCTCTCTCGGAAGCGGCGAGAGACGCGCGGGTGAAAGCTCGCTGCGCCCCCGCTCCCCCGAAGCCCCCCAAAAACCTTCCAGCA